CCATAGCTCTTTAGGTACCTGAATTTGCTTGTTTTCTCTTATCTTGCTTTCCATTTATCTTTGTGTATCATGTCTATTGGACTATAAGATATCTTTTTTGTATTGCCAACTGATCTGAGTGCATTGAAGGAAAGGTGGTTTTAAAATGTAGTGAATAAATAAAGTAAACAATAATTGATACTGCCTGCCACATACCGGTATATTTTTTTGTTGCCACTTTTTTGACTTTCCCTTTCTTCTTCTATCAGTATCTGACCTGGATTACAAGTCCCTTAGCAACAGGAAAGTGTATCTTTTATATAATGTCATGTTACCAGCTCTTGGTCTTTGGAACAGGATGGAAATCCTTTTAAAAAAATGTTTTTGATTGAAAAATAAATGCAGGCCACCCAATGAGTTCGTAACTGAATAAGCCTTTGCACTCAGGTTTCTTGGACTCAAAGGGAAGCTATTTTCACTGGATCACTTTGGCTTCTTTTATATTTCGAGGTTTCATTCTCCGCCTCCATTGTTCATCATAGCACATTTCTGACCTAGTAAATTATCATCTATCTCCTGTTTCCGCAGTCTGGCACATCTTCTTCTCATTGCTTTTTGATGACACATCTTGTACAGCCCCTAATGAATTGAGGAGGCATTTTTTTCTCCCTGATTTCATTCCTATGCAATGGCAGCTTTGCGACGGAAAAATTACTTAGATGCTATGAGCTTGGATGTAACATTTCGAATTAACTGATGATGCCTTCCACTAACAGTGAAAGACATTTTGAACCCTGGCTTTCTTTTATTGCTTCATGGTGGTAGAAGAATGGGCCCTTTCAGGCTTTTAAAATGGATTTCTGTTACATTTTGCTTCTTAATGCTTTCATGGACACAGGTAACCAAACCTGGATTCCAAATTTGGCAAGAGTATTAAATCCACACCAGGAAAGTTATCTGTTGCAACCTTTTGTTTCAGCAACCAAAGGGTTTATTCCTAGTGTAAACAGATAAGGTGAGCAGCAGCCTGCTTCATCACCCTACAGTATGAGGAGCATATGCACTCGATTAGTTTTATGTAATCCCTTCATCCTGAATTAGCAACTGCGAAGGCCAATATATGCATCAGGTCTGTAATCTTAAACACACTTGCAGCCTGTTCCCAAACAAGCTTGGTGAGTTTAATAGAACTTATTTCCTAGTAAGTAGGATTAGGACCATTTATATACAATGGTACCTCGGTTATTGAACACTTTGGAAGCTGAATGTTTCGGTTTTCGAACGCCGAAAATCAGAAAGTGAATGTTTCCGCTTTCAAACGCGCGTCAGAAGTTGAACAGCTTCTGAGGCGCGTTTCTCCATTTTCTCAATGGAACTTGCCAACCGACCATTGTGCCTCAGTTGTCGAACATTTCAGAAGTCAAACGGTCTTTCAGAATGAATTACGTTCGAGAAAAGAGGTCCCGCTGTACAGAGGCAGAGCTAGCTGTTCCGGCCAGCAGTGATGTCACCACCCCCTCAGGGATGGTGCCCAGAGTGGGCCGCACCCACCTTTCTCTGCTATTGCCACTGTACTTGGAAGTGCTTGCACCAAAATCAATGAATAGGCCAGTGAATAGGGTGTGAGCATCACTTCCCCATGTGACCTTGTAAAAACTCAGGTCACATCCACACCATACATTTAAAGCACTCTTATATTGCTTACAGTCTTGGCTAACCCCAAAGAATCCTGGCAACTGTAATTTCTCCTAAAAAATCTCAGCACCCTTAGCAAACTATAATTCCCAGGACTCTTTGGGGGAAGCCATGACTAACTAAAGTGGCATATGGTTGCTTTAAATGTATGCCATCCTAGATAGCCTCAGGTGAGTCATGCAACCTATGATGATATGAGAGAATACTACTAATTATGGCAAAAGATAACTTGACCACTACTTCTGGAATCTTAACACACATCTCTTGGTGATATAGCTGTGTAATATCTTTCATTTCATTTGTATTTTAGTCACAGATGTGATTCATACAGGAGGCATTTGCATCTCTACAAAAATTAATGTGAGATGCTGTCGAGCGAGGTGTGAGGAATATAGTGTATTTACTAGAAAGCAAAGCCCAACGAACTAAATGTGATTTGTTTGCATAGAATTGGGCTCTCACTGTCCTTATGCTGCCACAATATGGTTAGTCTCTCACCTTGTTCCAGCACTGGTATACAGCTCTGATGTTGCATCTGTTCAAAGGACACAAATAGTGCAGTTTTGCTTTCTTCTACAGCTCAGAAGCGGGTGGTGTTTAAGTGTGGAAAGGCTGTGGGAGTGGTGACATCCACAATGCCCAGACCAGGACTTCTCCTTGCAGCAGTGCAATACACAGAACATGAACGTTAAAACACAGTACTGTTGTCAAAGAGCCCACACATTCCACGGCTACATGCCAAAATGCCAGCAGTCATGCTTTGAAAAAATACCACAGATGTATCAGAGATGTGTTAGACTCCCACCCAAACATGAGAGATTTCCGTTCCCAGGAAAACATTAGGGAAGCACAAAAGGCTTGTGGCAAATGCATGAATCACAACTCCCACATTGGTGCAGGGAATCCAGGCATAGAGTGAATTATAAGGATGGCTCCTACATACTCAAGGGACAGTTTGGAGAATATGCTGCTTCTCAATAGGCAGAGAATAAGGCACAGACAAGTTGCAGCAAGGGACCAAGAGACCCACTTGGATCACCACCTTTCTTTCTGACATGGTTTGCGAGTCTTTCACAGGGATGGGGAACCACGTGGCCACGCTACAAAACCCAGATTTGAAGCTTGATTGGATAATGAAAACTAGCAGGAACATCAGAATAAGTCCTGCTGTAATATGTATGTTTGCAATTCTGATTCTGTTTTTACTCCAAAAGCTCCACTGCATGCAATATTCCAAAAATATTTAATTCATGATGATAGCAATCACAGAGCAGTTTCCACAGTAAAACAATAAAATACAGTACCCAATTAAGCAAATGCTATTAAAATATACAGGTTATAAAAATAAAGTGGCGGTTAAAAGATTCCTAGCCACCATAGAATAGCACATATGATACGGACTATTCATAAAACGGGTATCACAGGTTCTTAAGCACCAGCATACACAGGTGCATCTGAAGATGGTAAAAAAATTGATCTATTGTTGACACATGACACATTTCCAATGGTAGGAGATTCCATAAACAGGGCACCACTACAGAAAAAGCCTTTTCCCTGGTCACCATGTGTCGTACATTGTCCAGTGGTGGGACTGGAAGTGCAACAGCTAGGCTAGCATATACTGGGAGATGCATTCCTGCAAGCATTTGGGCCCCAAACTGTTTAGGGTCCTATACATAGGCATTAAAAACCTTACCTTGGGTTCAGAAGCAAACAGGCAGAAAAGGCAGATCACAAAGAATAGATGAAATACGATTCTGACTTAGTGTGCAACTCAGTAACCAAGCAGCAGCATTCTGCACCAACTGCAACTTCCGGACCATCTTCAAGGATTGCCCCATTCCATTAATCTAAACATGACATTACCAGGGCGTGGATCACAGTCGCAAGTCGATCACAGTTGGAAGGTTGTCCTGGTCCAGGAACAGCAGCAGCTGGCAAACTAGCTTGGGCTGGGAATAGGCACCCTGAGCCACTGTGGCCACTTGGGCCTCTGATGGCCATCCTGGATCCAGAAGTACTCTCAAGCTATACGCCTGTTCCTTCAAGAGGGGAGTGCAATTCCCATCCAGAACAGTGTCTCTGTCTTTTCAGTGCTCAATCTCAGTTTATTAGCCATCATCCAGCCCATTGCTGCTTCTAGGCACCAGTCCAGCACCTGTGCAGCCACACCTATTATACAAGGAATGAGGAGACGGAGCTGGAACCATTGGAATACTAATGACACTTCACTCCATATCCCTAGATGACCTATCTCAACAGCTTCATATTGAGGTTAAAAACTAGGTGGAACGGAATGGAACCCTGAGGAACCCCAGTGCACAAATACCATGGGGCTAAGCAGAAGCTCCCATATGCTATTCTTTGTGCAGAAGACATGGGGTTCTCTGTCTGTAGATCTACTCTCTGTGAATATCAGTGTCCTGTGGGCTGCAGTCTACATCTCCAAGTCCCCATATTTTGAGCTTGACAATGTAATACCGTATGGCATTACAACCTCCATCGGAGACTAAAAGAGAGATGTAGTTAGCTAGCATTTGCTGAGCAAACCCAGAATGGTAGTTAATATGCAAGCCAAGAGTATTTACAGGAGATCTCAGCGTCTGTAACTTAAAGCATTAGCGAAACAAATTGGAATTGCCTTCTGGAGGCCGTTGTTATAAATTACGGGCCCAACATCTGCCCACATCTGCAGTGTCTAGACAGTTTGTATCAAATATAACAGCGTGGAAAGGGTCGTGAGTGTATTGGGAGAGGGGCTAAAAGGGAGGAAGGATCACACATGCAAAAAGACAGCTTGACTCCGAATAGATTTAACATTCAGTTTCCATCCAAAATTAAGACCCATCTCTGTTCTTGCTTGGTGAGTTGAAGTTCCTGCCCAACCTGGGCAGATTTGTAGGCTGCTTAAGAGGGGTTTCAGAACATGAAAAGTTATTTAAACAATTGATCAATATAGGCCCCAGTGCTATGCCAATCCATTTTAAACCCCCAAGCACAGCCACATTTTCACTACAATGCTCCCAGAATAGCCTCTACTGTAAAACACTCTTCCCAACACAAGCTGCCTCTTCCCATCATCATAATATAGGCTGGCATAGATATAGATTAAACCACTTTATCTTCATCACAACCCTGTGAGGTAGGTTAGGCTAAGAGAGAGTGACTAGCCCAAGGTCACAAATGAGTGGGGATTTTAACCCAGGGCTTTTCAGGCAAGGTTAAATGCTTTAATCAACACAGCATACTAAGCTCTTAGTATATTCTTCTCTGCTGCTACCATCTCTTCTTCCACACCTTCTCACCTTCTCCCACCTGAAGGGAAAGGGCTATAGCTCAGTGGCAGAGCACCCGTTTACCACGTAGAAGGTCCCAGGTTCAGTCCTTGGCATCTCCAGATAGGGTAGGAGAGAACCTGGCCCAAAACCCTGGAGAGTGGCTGCCAGTCAGTGTAGACAGTACTGACCTAGATGGACCAGAGGTCTGGTTCAGTTTAAGGCAGTTTCCTATGAACAACTAGGCCTGCTTACCTGGCGTGCATAATTCCTGCAGTGCGTAAATTGTAAATATAGCTCCGTGTGGTTGCGGCTCCTCTTGCTCTGGCTAGAAAGGGGGCCAGCCAGGTCTGAATTCCTCCACAGCTGAGCATCCTCTGGAGCACATTACCAAAAGAAGTGACCGGCTCTGTCCCTAATCTGTTAGCAACGTGGCAGCTTCTGAGGAGGTCAGGCAGACATTATTTATTTATTTAGGAAGCAAGGTTTTTTTTTAAAAAAACTGCCCTTCATCATGTGATCTTTCCTTCCTCCTGGCCCCTGTGCCTCGTGCAGATCAGAGAGGCCAGGCCCTGTCAGTGAGAGCGACTATATTTTTTTTAACAGTTCCTAGCGCAAACCTTCTCATTTATATGTAAAGTAGCCATTAGTCATAGCTCCGTTCCCTCAGACTGCCTGATGTACAATCACATTTTGCAGTGGATGAATCTTTCCACACAGCTGCTCTGCTATGAATAATCCGTCACTGGGCCCATAAATCAGAAAAAAATCATGCACCTCCTTCGCCTGATCCTTACACAAAGTCATATATTTTACATGAGGACAAGCTAAATATTCATGAGGCTTTAAAAAGCCTCTTCTGGCTCTAAGGGACTTGTTGGGGTTGTTTTTTGAGTTGTTGGACTGAGCTGGCTTCTTCTTCCGGTGCTCCATTTTAAAAGAAAGCAAAGCATTCCCCCCTTTCCTGCCATTTCCATGTTGCTTCATCCACCCCCATTTGGTTGTCTAAATATTAAATACCCTACACTCTTTTATAATATCCTACCCAAACAATACTCCATGTGGGGTGGGCCAGACTCCCGCATCACGTGACAGCTAGGGCTGCAGCCAGTTTTGCACACCTGCTGCCCTCATTGGAAATCCCAAATATTTCCACATAAGGCTGCCCATTATCATTCATGCACAATGCAAACGAGAAAAGCGGCCACTCAAGTTCAAGGTGCTTGTTTTGACATGCAGAGCTCTATCTGGCTTCAGATAGGGGTTACCAGCATGGCACCCAGGGGTGGGTGCTCATGTACCTATAGAGGCCTTCTCTAGCACCAACTGGGTTCCCTCTCCATGGCTTAAACTAAACATTCCATTACCGCCAACAGAATAGATTGCAAGGTAGGGGTGTGTGTGTGTGTGTGTGTGTGTGAGACCCACAATACATTCTTTGGTTTGCAGATGTGCACATGGTCTTTGATGTAGGGTAGGTATTGCTATTTCTGTGTTGTATGTGTGTGAGCTTGATAATGAGTGGTGTGTCGAAAGCTACTGAATCATAGCACATTCAGACTTGCTGAGGTTTACAGCTCAGCCTCTTAGTCTCTCTGCTATACTGACTCTCAAGGATTCTAGCAGATTTTGGAGATGGCGTTCTGTAACAAGGTCAAGGGATATTCATAGAAGAGCAAGAAACTCACAGTGTTTATGATGTAGCTGAAAAACAGGATTCAAGATGAAGTTGGTAACATTGAACCTCTTACACTGTACAGTACTCACCTCCTTAAACTCCATTTCTAAACATTAAAGCCCTAATAGTTTCATAACCATAACCTCCCTGTCATCAGAATCCATTTCGTCTTCTTTTCTCCCATTACATTTACGCTTCTCCCTTCAATTTGCATTTTTCTTCTATGTTTATGCTGTGTCTCAAAAAGTGAAAGTGACATGTATCCCCCTCCAGTTTATTCAAATCACCCACATTATTAAATAATTTGCCTTCTTTATAATCCAGAAAGCCCTATATCTTATGGTTAGTACGGACTACATGTGCAGAACAATTAGCACATCCCCCTCACAATAAGCATTGCAAGAAACTATCCTATTAACTTCTTCTTCCACCACAAACTACTCCCTCCATTTCTCATTTCAGTCTGGAAAGAATTAGCCCAAGAAGCTGTCTGTAAGGATAGTAATAAGTCTGAATGCATGCAGCTGCCAGCCCTGCAAATTTAATTTAAACACATCGTTCTTATTATTTAAAGTGTTATAATTCAGGCAATAATGCCCAAAGGAACTGAAATTATGGAAGATCCCCATTATTTCAAGGGTTACTTCTACAGATTCTCCAAAGAGTCACTAGAAATGTAAAAACAAGAGGCATAACAAGGGTGAGAAACGTGGTACTCTTCATTGAAAATCAAGTGGCCACTATTCCTTGTTAAATTGATTATTGCCACTACCTATTGACATTGAATTCACCCCAGGGATGACACTGGCTGATAAAGTCTTGGAGGCAGTGAGTGATATTCTATTTCAAAAATCACCAAGACAATGACATTACATGGATTTCTCCTGGGACAATTCTAGGAGTGAATAGCCTTCTCTTGAGTTGCACAGATGATTGAAAAATGCAAATGGCAAATTAGCCCTATGTTTTGAAGCCAGAGTGCACGGAAAAACTGTTTATCTTCCCGCCACAGTGGTACCTATTTATCTACTCACGCTGGTATGCTTTCAAACTGGTAGGTTGGCAGAAGCTGGGACAGAGTAACAGGAGCTGACCCCGTCGCATGGATTCGAACCACTGACCTTCTGATCAAGCCAAAGAGGCTCAGTGGTTTAGACCACTGCACCACCCACATCCTTATCTGCACAAGCAAGATAATTCAACAACATGCTTGGCAACTTCTCTTGGGGAAGCAGGGTGTTCCAAAGATGCAGGCCTATCTTGGAAAATGGTCTCGTTTTCACTTCCCCAAAGATGAGCGCAGGGAGAGTTAATCTGAAAGGTTATGAAATCCCAGGGTGTGGATGGCTTTATAAATTATACTATCCCTATCCCTGAATCTGTGATAGAAGTATCTGCTTATACAAAACATATTTGCCAGTCACTGCAGAGATATAACCAGATTAACTCAAGGATGCTTCTTGTCACAGATGTTCCATGTGAACATTTCAGCATTATCACAAGCGATTCTGACCAGTTATAGCTGCTTCTAGACAGAAGCAGATATTCCATTCTCTGGAGAAGGAGCAGGTCTTCCAACCTGAGGCCTGGAATTCTTAAGAAGACTTTGGAAAGGAGAGAATACTCAGTAAAGTATCTTTGTAGTATATGTGCTATAAGAAAAACTTCTTCTTTGGCTTCTTTGCACAACAATTTTTAAGTCTTGAAAGTGCCTCATATACATGATATAATTAACCTTATAATAACTGGTAAGATAAATCAGTTATAGTATCCTCATTATGCAGATGAGAGACTGAGGCTGAGAGACAGGAGCTTGACAAAGCCTACCTAGTGAGTTTATGGTTGAGATTTGAACCAGGGGCCTCCCAGGTGACACTCTAGGAATCAAATTCAGTAGCCTATGCAAGCTGTTGGGTGAAAACTGTGGCCCACATCAGAGCACATGCCATCTGGACTGCTCCCTCTCCCTTCTACCATCAACTGCCCTGCAGGAATGTTTCCATGAAAGAGAGAGAGGAGATGGGGGAAGGAGGCAGGCATCCAGCTGGATGACCGCTATGGCGAGGGAGGTGATTGGCAGAAGAACAATCCTATACAGTGGTACCTCAGGTTTCATACGCTTCAGGTTACATACGCTTCAGGTTACAGACTCCACTAACCCAGAAATAGTGCTTCAGGTTAAGAACTTTGTTTCAGGATGAGAACAGAAATTGTGCTCTGGCGGCACGGCGGCAGCAGGAGGCCCCATTAGCTAAAGTGGTGCTTCAGGTTAAGAACAGTTTCAGGTTAAGAACAGACCTCCGGAACAAATTAAGTACTTAACCCGAGGTACCACTGTATATGGAAAGGGGTGGAGAGGATGTGAAGGGTGACTGGGTCATGCTCCTAGCCACTAGACTTGCTCTCAATTAATTTAGTTAAACTGATATAAATTAGCAACTGATCTTCAAAAATGTTCCACTGCTACAAGGTCCATTTCTAAACTGCCAGGGGGACTTAGATGATATGAGGAATCGAAATGTCACACACACAAAAACCACAAATAAGATTGAGTCTTGGATGAACATGATCACAGTTTTGAAACTCAGAGGGTAAACTGATAGCAACTTAAATAGGTTAACCAGACTGTAAGGATTTTGGGAGGCTATTTATTGTAGTATTATTTAACATTTTTACCCAACAGTGTGCATTACAGTCTATCTTGTTCATTGTCATAACTAACTCCTGCAGCATGTCATTTTTTCTCTAATTTGACAGATGGGCTGAGGCTGAAAGATAGCAACATGCCCAAGGCCAGTCAATTAGTACATAGCTGTGTTAAGATTTGCATCCAAGCCCTCTCTAGATGCACCTGCCAGATGAAACAAAGTTAAGGTATGAGTATCTGAATTTGCTTACAGTCACCCCTCCTTTCTGTGCTACTGTCATTTCTGCTCTCTCCTTTGGCTAAACTTGACTTTCTTTCTCCTTACCCTCCTCTGCTGTATCCCGTTGCTGAAATTTAAATTGTAATCACCTCAAGGCAGGGACCTGCACATTTTTGTTAAATGGGTTATCATTTTCTGTCGAGTGCCATCTACTGTCATGCTGCAAACCTAACAATAACACTAATAATACAATAATACAAACTCACATGAAGTCCAATATTCTGAGAAGAGTATGGGTACTAATAAAAAAAAACCTAACTGTACCGTATATTTCATATTTCACAATATTTCTAATCTATGGTTACCATCTCCTGAAATCAAAACATCTGCTGTCTGGGGTGGAGCCCAGAGCTAGTGCTTTGTGGAGCCCAGTTGATTTTGCCACATGAAGAACAGAGCCATGGCCAAAAGCTATCTATTCACAAAATGTCTATACTGTATAGCAGGTGCAGCAAAACTGTGGCCATCCAAATATTGTTGGACTACAGCTCCCATCATCCCTGATCATTGGCCATTT